TACCATTCACTGCTGAAATACTAAACAACCTGCTTCCATGGCCGAGATACAGGGCGCCCATATTATAAGGTAAGGTTATAAAACCACCATTTAAGATCATTTTAGTGAAAGTTTCATGTTCCTATCTCATAGAATTTAAGAACAATGATGAATAAATAATTTTCGAGCAAAATTTAAATGGACGGCTGAATATATTACCGCAGGAGCCGCGGCCGCGGAATTTAAATGACCACGTCAAAGGGTTAATTAGTTAAGGACAGGTACAATTTTACCTTACCTTTTATGTATAATAATTAACTTTACATAACAGTACAGCTTCATGTCATGTTCTGGTTACAGTATTTTTTAAAAATGGTCTGTACTAAGTTTGAGGCAAGGCCGCACCATAGCTCAAGTGGTTAGTCGCTGGTTTCCCACTGCGGCAGCCCGGGTTCAATCCCAGGTCTGGTCAAGTGGGATTTGTGGTGGACAAAGTGGCGCTGGGGCAGGTTTCCTCTGAGTACTTCGGTTTCCCCTGCCGATCTTCATTCCACAAAATTCTCCATCATCATAATCACCTGGGGCAGGATACAATAGGCCAATCAGTGGCTCCGTGCCAAGTGGACCCAGTTGGACTCCACCCCCCACCAAGCGAATAAGTTCCAGGCCTGCCTTCACATTTTGTGTATCCCATAAAAGTACATAACAGTTTGCTGAGATCAGGAAGTTTGTGGAGAGTATAGGACTTCTAATAATGTTAAGAAGTGATTTTTTATTGCTGCTGCTGTTGTCATTGTAATCATCATCATCATCAGCAGCAGCAATAGTAATAATAACCAAATAGAGAAGAGGTTCATATTTCATAATATGCATATAAAGCATACTCTATTTTTATATTCTGTGACACTTGGTCTGTGAAACTCTGTTTGGAGCCACTCTCTATGTTAGTAAGCAGAATTTGTACAAATTTATGTGCTGAATCAAGAAAAATTGCAGTTCTTGTACGGAGGTTATTTAACAGTGCTTTCAGTATGAAAGCTGTATAACATCAGATGATGGAATGACTAATGAACTGGAAAGTATTTGAAAGGAAGCAGTCACAGGCTGATGAAAGTACTTTCCCAGCATTTGCCTGAGGGACTAAGAAATACCACGAAAATCTGCAGTCGGGATAGGCGGTGTCCCAGCCAAGACTCCATCTGAGCACCTACCAAATCCAAATGTAGAGTATTACCAGCCTGTTTGATAATTGCAGTTCTCTATGTCAGCTTTAGTGTAAAGTAAGTTTGAAGGTATAAGGTTCATACAAGGGTTGGATAAAAAGAAGTGGCAACACTGCTATATCATGAAAGATGTGCGTCAGGTGGCACTAGCGCTGTCTGTAGCTGATAGCAGAAGTTCGGTTGGAGTAGTGCAGTGAGTGGCTCTGGTTGTGTTTCATTGAGTTACATTGTGCATTGTCTTGAAGTGCAGGAGCCCAGTTCAAGCACCCTAACAACATGTTTATGAAACAAGAACAATGCTCCTGGATAAAAATTGAAGTTTCACAGGGTCGTAGTGCACAAAACTGTTATCAAGGATTGCAAGAAGCACATGGTGATGCTGCTTTGCCATATTGCAGTGGCATGATGGGTGAAATTGTTCCATGAAAGGAAGGATGCCATTCAGGACAGCCATCATTCAGGATGACCCCATGTTGACAGATACACAATTCAGCTTCTTGCTTCTTTGCTGGATGTCAGTCGTTGATGGGCTGCACAGGAGTTAGCTGCTGAGGTAGGCGTATGTCACAGAACCGTGCTTCACATTCTGCATGATATTCTTGGATACCGCAAAATTGCAGCGCATTCGGTACCCCATACAATGTCTGAGGTGCAACAATGGCAATGTTATGCAGTTGCACAGGACTTGTTGGACCGGTACCACAGGGAAGATGACAACTTCCTTGGAAGGATTGTCACTCTGGATGCAACGAACCCCATCATCCTTCATGACAATGCAAGGGTTCATACTGCTGACGCTGTCAAGGATCTCCTTTGCCGCTGGTGATGGGAGATACTGCAGCATCCGCCACACTCACCCAATATGAGTCTGTGCAATTATGATCTCTTTGCAAAAATGAAAGAACCACTGCGAGGGACACGTTACAACAACGTTACAACACAAGAGAGGAAATTATTCATGCTGTAGGGCGGTCACTGCTGGACATCAACAGAAGTGGACGTGCTGATGGTGTATGACACCTTCCACAAATTTGGCAGAAGGTGGTACAATCGGGGGGCGATTATATTGAAGGGATGTAAGTGTGTTTACTGCAGGTAATAAAGTCATTTCAGAAGTATAGAGGTGTTGCCATTACCTTTTATCCAACCCTTATATTTGATTGGCACATGCCTAGCATAAAGAAGGGAAATCTATAGAAACATGAGGTGTGTTCAGACATACAGACAGGCCACATATCAAAATTGACATTTTTGGCTAATTTCTAGGTTCCTGAAATACCACAAATGTTAGAATGTAATAGTGTTTGTCTTGCCGAGATCTGTTGTAGAGTAGAGTAGTCCCTGTTGGTGCAGGCCAAGACACTCTTTGAAATGTTGGAGATTTTCCCCCTTCTGATATACTTCATGGTCTGAGAGCATTTCATTGCATTAAAGAAGCTCTTTGCCATGCTAGTTAGAATTCTCATTGGTAATCAGTGGAGTATGGAGATGAGAATGTACATGAGCAGTGGGAAAACCAAATTGTTATTATGAGAAATGGTTTGTAATGTTGCCGTAATTAAGTGCTGAGCATTTAGCACATATGGGATAAACATGCACACAGCATTTTGATGACACCTTATAAAAACATATCACTTAGAGAATAATATTGGTTTGAATCATAAAAAATATGCAATAACGAAAATAAGATAAAGGAGTCTTTGATTATATAATACTGACATTTTAGGTTAGAATTGAAACAGCTTTCATTTATGAATGTATTTTATTTGATAATTTGTTCTGGGATTATAAATTGTAATTCTTTTTCAATTTTTATCTTTCATTTCTTTCTTGTAAGTTAAGTTTTAATTATGGAGAATGGACACATCGATTTATTGGCTGTTTTGCATATTTCTTTCAAACTTCTGGACATAAGGTCAATAATATAACATATTTAATTAGATTCAGTACTCATCACTACTGAACAATGGTAATGATGCTGTGTGTGAATTTTAGTTAGGACAAAGTGATCGTGAGCTGAATCCTTACTGGAGAGATGGAGGAACAGGTTTACCTCCAGAGAGGAAAGATGCTGAGCAAGTTTCTAAGGAGGCTCGAACGCTGCCTGTAAAATCTGCAGGTCACCAAGGTGTTGACTGGCTGCATCAAACTTTGGAACACAGTAAGGAGCAAACAGCTAAGGAAGGCAGAAGTGTAGGAGAAATAGCAATGGAACAGAAGGGGGTAAGATGAGGTCTTATTTGTAGCAAAACTTCAAATAATTCAGAGTCAGTTCCTTTTGTCTTGATTACTTGAAATCCCACACAGCAACCATTCATACTGATTCAGTTTAAGGGAAATGCTTGGTATGTAGCATGGCTTATGTATATATCTTCTGACATTTTCTGACCTATTGTGAAACTGTGATTTAAGGTTTGTCAAGGGGCACAGGCTTTTTATACCTTAAATGGGGGATTTGGAAAATGGAGCTAAAATGACTGTTAAAGCTAGTTAAATCATGTTCATTTAATGAAATAAGTTCTTTTAGTTTCTCAGAATGTGACCCACCCCAAATTTCTGCTTCAAGAACTGAAGCCCACCATGGGCTTTTATTACTTAATGATGGCAGAACACTTCACAGTTTCATTTTGTGACACAGAAGGATTCTTCTCCAGCTCATGTTTTTCCTTTGCCATTTTTTGTTAACTTCTTTTTCGTGCCATGGCCATACTTTACTTCAGATCACTTCCAAAAGAGAAAAAACTTACACTTAACACACAAAGAACAAACAGTAACCACTTCCAGCTGATCCAGAGGATGAACAAAGAAAGTGCATAGACAGTCGGTCTGCCTACCACAGATTGCTAAGATGCCTACCTTGCTAATCTGTGCATGTTGCATTGCAGGCCATGCAGATGAAGATCTTGAACTGTGCAAGGGGTGCCATGCAAATGATGACCTAGAAATATGCTAGGGTGGCCATGTGTAGGTTAGAAAAAACAAAATTCCCTTCAATGCTGAAACTAGATCCAAACATACATAGAAGTCAAAGTTCCATATGTAAAATGCAGGTAAACCCTTAAATCTAGGACAATAATACATAAGCCATTTGGAACTTTGTCTGGGAAATGTGAGAAAGTGTAAAATGCAGCTTCCTTGAATTGTTGTTTTACTGTATCTGCTTTCAGTGCTCAGGGTAGTTCTTCAAAACATCCATTTTACCTGCCTTTTAAAGCTATGACTATGCACTTAATCGTTTATAACTGTATCACTTATTTGTTATTATGAGAATTTACTTCTCAAATTTATAAATTACTCACCTGCCTTGATTTAAGGTTTTCCCTTAGTGTTCAATTTCTGTGATCTCAAGTCAGTAAATGACTGCTTTTTAAGATTTTCATCACTTTGATGCAAATGCACTGGTCACTAGAGAAGACCTAAATAAGGTATTAACTGTATTATTTTGTGTTTAATTCTATGATACACATGTGGACATAATATGGTGTTGAAATTTTTAATTTATTGACACTTTGAAAATTGTCAGTAATTTATTTGTGCTTTGCAGACTTTAGAAAAACTGAATAGAATGCTAGGAGAAGCAGAGAAAAGGAGCAGGGCCCCTGGTAGTGGAAAGGAATATGAGAGGAATGAACAGGGAAATGGAAGAAGTGGGTGGAGGAAGGACAGGTGTGATACAGAGAGAACAAGAAGTATTGTAGATGGATTGAATGCAAAATCATCTGATGATCAGAAGCATTCACATAGGAATAAACATGGTAGAAGTCACACGGCTTATAGATCTTTCCAGAGACCAAGAACTGATGAAGATTTTCAACATAGACAACATGATAAGCAAGATGGTCATTCATTAGGCAGAAGTCTATATTCTGAAAAGTCTGAGACTTTTCAGAAACCCAAAGATGAAGTTGATGTGTCTGGAAGAGAAAGTCCTTTGAGGCAAGATGTTTCCAGACAAGAAGTGGACGGTGTATCAACACTTAGCAGTTGCAGAAGTCCTGTGGTGTCTGAGAACTGGAGGAGAAAAGTATCTGATAATGTTGTATCTTCAAGTAATCTGAAATCAAGTACCTGTAAAGAAACAAATGCTTGTATGAAAACGCTGTCATCATCTTCAGAATCAGAGGATGAGGGAAAGAAAACTTCAGAAGTTCCACTCGTCCTTACAGACAAGGAAATGAATGATCTTGGAGCTAAACTTATTAAAGCAGAAATTCTTGGAAATGAGGTTTGTATAGATGTTTTATATATGGATAAGCAGGGCAAATTTCAAATAAAATCTGTTTTTTATTGAGTTTGTGTGCAGCTTGCATAATGTTCTGCTTATGAAGAGTTATGTAGTTTTAATTGTATATATCTGTAAACTGAAAATTGAAAGGAATGGTATGATGTGCTTCATAACTTATCATAGCAAGAATCTTGAAATTTATCATGATGTCCAAATTCAGGAATATTTGTAGGTTGATAGCTGAAAAGAGTCAGAGTAGTTGTAAGATTTGAGGCTTTCACGGCGGTGACTATGAAGAAAGCAGTCTTCTGGGATTTTGCACCGTGTATATGTGGTGTTAACCGACGTTTCGGAGGAACGTATCGCCTCCATCTTCAGGGTAGAAGAAAAAATATATAAGAAATCTGCAAGCAAAGAGACCGTGAGAACCGGTAAAAGCAGACTGCTTCTACCGGTTCTCACGGTCTCTTTGCTTGCAGATTTCTTATATATTTTTTCTTCTACCCTGAAGATGGAGGCGATACGTTCCTCCGAAACGTCGGTTAACACCACATATACACGGTGCAAAATCCCAGAAGACTGCTTTCTTCATAGTCAGAGTAGTTGTCTGTATGAATATTGTTAATTGTGAACTTAACAATACTCTTTATATTAGAGCTGCATGATAACTTTTTTGTGTGTCATTTTACAATGATACATAATTTCATACAAAATTACAAGAAATGTATCAAATAATGGAAAGACAAAAAGTAAATTAATCTGGTTGTAATGAACACAATGCTAAAAACAGAGGCCTAATATGGAAATACAGTGCAACTGGTAGAACAAGTATGGCCTATAACAAGTACTTCATTATAGCAACAGTACTGCTGGAACCAACAGTTTCTTAGTGTTACACATATGGAAAACCATTGCATAAATCGAAGGCTGTTTTCTTGCACCTTTATCATAACAAGTAATTCTTAACTAACTGCCACTGTTTTCTCTCAATTTTTTCACTCTCTGTACTTGCAGTTTTGCTTCCAAAACTATTAATGACTAGCATCTGTAAAGGTCCTGTTAACCCATCTCCAACTTAACATTGACTAGGGGAAAATTTGCATTTGAGAATCTGAGATTATCTTACCCACCCCCATGTTTCAGCCATTGAAAATATACAGCATGTGATGTCATCTGAATTTCTTCATAAGTCCAATAGCTTGCTTTGTTGTGTATTATAACTTAACAAGTCTACCCAACTGATAACTTGGGTGATAGCTCAGGTGTGGGTGGTAAATTTGGTGGATTAATATCTGAGGGTAGTTATTTTGATTATGGGATTTATTGGGTCAGGTAACTCAGCTGGTAGAGTTTGACTCTGTGTTGAATGTCACATGTATAGGAAAGCACACCTATCATGCACCATACAAGAAGTCACAATTATTCACCATTGAGGATAAAGTTCATTTATTATAGTTCACCAGTTTATATCCTTGGAACACTGATTACTTGAGTCACAGCAGTGATTATGCATAATTTTATGATTTTGATAATTACTAGTGGACCTAAATGTGACTAAATACACGGATGTTATTTATTTTAAAGAATTTGTTGTTGCTGCCAAACACATCCATTGACATAATGATAAGATTAGGATAGTGAATTATGTACTTTTTCTTGGCCATCTTAGACAACCCTGATTTAAATGGACTTTTCCCCTGTGAAAAAATACTGAATAATTCAACATTTTTTTGCAAATTCTTATGCCTGTTCCCTGTCTGAGGTAAGATTAGTTACATTTTATCACAAATTTTCATACTTTGCAATTAAATTATGTATAAAAGATTTATTTAGAAATAATTCAGCACAGAGGGTACTGACAGTTACTTAACATACTAGCAGTGAAAGGGTTAACATTGTTCTGGGGGTTTTTTTTTTTTTTTTTCTCAGTATATATTAGTGAAATTAGTTTCACAATACAAGTTATCATGAAGACAGGCTCTTGATAAACAGTCGGTTGCTAAGTTACGCATCAGTGGAACAAGGTTATGCAACCAGCTTCTACGCACCGGCCGGTAAACAAGACTCCTGTGCAGGCACGATGACATCATACTGCAGTAGTGAGGAGTTATGTGACCTCTGTGTTTCCGCAAGTGACATCAACCCCCCCCCCCGCACCCCCACCGATCGCATTGCTACACAGTGGTAAACACCCCTTCCACACTAGGCTGTGACATCATGCAGCAGTGAAGCAAGCTGCGTTTTCCACTTGTCCGATTGAGAGTTTATAAAAGAAACTGGAATACTTATGGAGTCAGTATTCAGCAGTATTTGGAGAGCATCTGGAGAAACAACCTTCGAATGGTGTTTACTATGCAGATACACTTAAAGTGCATTTAAGGAATGTTATTTGGAAAAAAGAGATGAGAGTTCTTGACGAAGGGGTAACTTCTGCTTCAGGGTAATGCATGATCACGTATTGCACATGTGATTATGGAGGCACTAGCAAACATTGGTAGAACACCTGTAGAACATCCATCCTGCAGTCCGGACCTCATCCTATGGGATTTTTGTGCAGTTTGAACATTTAAACATGAGCTGTGAGAGCAGACATTCAGCACTGACACTGACGTGAAACAAGCCACTGCTGCTACCCTATGTAAGATGTCTGGAAATTGCATACTGCATGTGTTTTGGGAGTGGGTGGGGCACTGTAAAAAATATCACTTCAAAAGAGAAATAGTGCTGAAAACTCAGGGATGAGTATCATGAGTCATCTCGTTATTTTTAAAATTCCCTTTGTATATACAAATATTGGTTTTGGACATTATCCATCCTCTTGTCCTTACTAAAACCCGTCTTGTTTATTTTTAAAAAAAACAGCGTTTTGGAGACTGGACTGTGTTTTGAAAAATAAACAGGATGGTTTTTAGATAAGGACAAGAGGGTGGATAATGTCAAGAAACATAATATTTATAAGGATGTACCATCATCACAAACTTTTAGATCTTATCCCCTTGTATATTCTGAACAGTGTAACGGCAACATCTACCTATTTCTTGCAGACTTTAGCAAAGGAACTGAAGAAGAAACTGGATGCAGCTCGTACAGCTCTTGCCACAAAACACAGAGAAATGAAGAATACAGTAGCAGCAGCAGAAGAAGAAGAAGAAACTGTAATTCTGACCAGGACAGACTCCCGGGGCTTTGTGCGCCCAATTCAACAGTTTGATCAACATGTAAAGCCAGTAGGTGGCAGGAGAAGAAAGCAGAAGATGGAGACGCATGCTGAGGGCAAGCGAGTCCGGTACTATGCAGATGATGATAAATATTCCTTGCGAGATTTGGTAAGTTTCTTAGATTGGTTTTTAATTTTAATAGTAATTTACTGAAGGGAAGATTTTTGTGAAAACTGAAATAAGAATAGTGAGGAAAGTGACCCCATGGAGCAGAGCCCCTCTTGAGATGCTAATAGGGACGCAGCTAGTGAAGAAATTCCCATCATTTTATGGAATCTGAAGGTTTATTACCAACAAGAGCATGTCACTCTAGCCTATCCTGACCCAGATGAATCTAGTACACATGTTCTCATGCTCATTTTTTAGATACACTTTAATATCCTTCAATGTATGACTGTATCTTCCATGTGATCACATCACTATAGGTTTTCAAATGTGAACTTTGTATGCATTTGTCTTCTCTTCTATGAATGCTGCATGCCCCACACCCCACCATTTCATCCTCTGTGCAACTGATTTTTAACTGTGTTTTATTTATAATTTCCAACATGGTTTAAGCAATTTTATCATTTGAATTACGAGTATTTCATTACTACCTCTTGATAGGTTACATTGCCTCAGTCTAATCATATTTGTACCAAACTGTTTTTCTTCAAAACCCATTCGTGTGTCTGCTACTGTTAGTGCAGTCAAGCAACACAGGCTGGAGCAAGCTTTCTGTTGCTTCAGGTTGTGTACATTTTTAAATAGTCCTGAATCAAAAGGAAATAAAAGAGACTAAATTTGGGTCAAGGAGAAATTCTTCTATCTTGTATTTGGATGGTGTATGGTTTGAGTCTTTGTCAGGATATCCACCATCCTTACTGGAGTTTTTCTTGGTTTTCTTCTTAGTACCTTCATGAAAATAGTAGTACCTTAAATTAGTCCATGACTGGTTCCTTCTGTATCCTTTCAAACTCACTGATTCGTCCTACATTTTCACATTATACAGGTGGACTTACTATCATAAAATAAGTTGTAAATAAATGATTAAACTTTATGGAAATAGTGTAAGGGCAGGTTTTAACTAAGTGAAATTCTCGGCTTCATGTGCTCTTTCTCCTGTGAGTGTTGTGACAGTTGTATAAGCATCTGCTATCTGAATTCCATACTTGTCATCTGATATATTTGAACATGTGATGTAGCGAATTTGTATTAAAGATAAGCAGCGACACACACAGAGAGCGCCTACACAGAACAACACATGAACAGCCATAAAAACAAGAAGTGGCCGCTGCAGCACCGTAGATATAGGGCATGTACCCTGAAAAATTTTAATTAAAAAATTTGAAAAAGAAAGAGAACGGAGATCTTATAGACATTTTAACTTGAATTAAAGTTTTAAAAAGTGCTAATTTAAAAATCAAATCGACGCGTGTAGATTAACAAAGATTTTATACAATTAGAAAGACTGGTGATTTTAAATTTTAACAAGCAGTGTAACAGCTACGTGAGTAATACACACCTGATGATGGCCATTTAGGGCTGAAATATGTAGTGTGGAGGAGGAAAAAGAAGTAAAAACTACAATAAAATTGTTGCACTTAAGACGGTATTTGTCCATATATATTGTGCGAGTGTAACAGGATGCTGAAATATAATATTTGAACATGTGATGTAGCGAATTTCAGAATGTTTCTGGCAGTGTCTCATAATTAGTTTTACAGCAGGATGCAAAAATTGAAGGTCAACGAATTATATAACTATGTCACTGTTTTTCATTTGTTTCCAGTTTGAACGTGAGAAACTGAGTACTGTAGAAGACGAGAATGTGATGTTCTCCAAACTTGCCGCCAAGGTACATACGTTTTTAAATGGACATGAATCATGCAACTGGGTCACCATCTTTCCGTTTCTGTGCTGATTAATAATTAACGCTCTAAGCAGTCTTCTCCCCATATGGTGGCAGGTTAGAGTACATCCACCGTAGCCCAGAAAGTTGTAGAAAGTGAAGAATAAGGAACCCGGTGCCTGGGGCATAAGTGGGCTACTCTGTCACTGGGGGATATAAATACAGAGACCTTGTCCTCTAATTTAGGGGTTGAACACAAGGCTGACAAACATGCTGTATGACAAAATTATTGTTGCAGTATCTAAAGAAGTGAAAACTGTATCAAGTCTGGCAGAATCTTGTAAGAAAGGCTGTGGCTCAAAAGGTGCTGTTTTGCCAATGATGACAGTGGTGGATTTCTAAGGACTGGAAGGAATTTCTGGTTTCTGAACTTATAAAATAATCACACAGCAGCTACGTCAGCATGTTAGAATATAATGAATCCTCTCATAACACTGATTTAAAACTATACCAGGATTACTCATTGTGCTGTATTTTGTTTAACACTGTGATCATAATTCTGTTAAGAGCTTGAGTTAATCTGTATTGTGAAGGTTTAAATGTTGTATAAAAATAATATTAATTTCTTAAAGTTAATTCAGTATATATGGTTTTGTTTTTACTAATGACTCTTTTAATTCTATTTTGGTCATATCTGGTAAAGTGTGTGTTTGTGACATGTTTTCACAGTTATAATTGTTATAAAATGCACAGTCATATTCAATATGCAGTACAATCCCCATTTGAGGTTTCTGTGGGCTACAGTGGATTTGAACACTTAATTAAGGAGAACCATAAATGAAGGAAATTGAATATTAAATGAGGGAAATTGTAAGTTGAGGAACATTAAATGGGGATTCCCTGTATTTCCAAAATGCAGTTTGATTATCTAATGTTTGTATGGACAAGGTGGGATAGCTCAGTAAGTAAAATGACTATTTACAAACTGGACGTCTGGGGTTCAATTCCCAACAGGAGGCAGGCCAGTTTCAGTAGTGCTGGGTTAGTAGCTTACAACAGCTTCATTTCATGTCCTTTCCAATTAATCAAACACAAATCATCCCACAAATGGACACTATGTAACTTTGGTAGTTGTAAGTGGTGTCATTAAATAAAGAATTGATGAATGTTAAAAAATCTTTTGCATTTGATGTGTCTTTTTAGGGGGCTGGTCCCAATGATCATAAATATGATATGGATGATTTGTTTGAAGAACAAGCCCAGTTGAAGGTGTGTGATGGCAAGGTGAAGTCCAGGGAACGTGGTCAAGCTATCAGGGAACACAAAATGATTGAAAATTGTTGTTGGTGTTTTGAAAGCAAAAAAATGTTGAAACACCTTGTTGTAGCTATTGGAAGCAAGGTAGGTGGAGAACTAATTTTTTTGGTGTAACAACTGCAGTATAAAGATAAGTAGAAATAGTTACTACTCTATTTTAACTGTTTACAGGATATTTCCTGTCACTGTATCCTATTACTACAATAGTTTTCATAAATCTTTTCTGACATATTCTCTGCACTGTTGAGGAGCAGACACTGAGCAGGTGCATGTATCTGGTTTTCGTGTTGCACAGCATGCATACACAAAATAAGGAGCAGGAATCAATTTCTACAACCTCATTATGTGTCTGGTGCAGCTGAGAACACACACAGTGTAAAATATGTTATCAGTTTTTTTAATTCCTGTAACTCATCATGCCCCTGGGCATGCTTCAGCACAATTCCATGGTTCTAGCTTGACTTCCATGAGCCATCACTGACATGAAGTGTGATCAGTTCCGGAGCTCATTTGAGGTGCTTTCAGTACTGTGGCTATTTTTAATATCTCTTGTTATTTTGAAAGGGGAATGGCCCTTTTAATTGTACTCTGCTCCACTAATTTAGAAGGATGAAGGATTGAGCTTGAGTGGGATATGGAGGTGTGTGTCCATGTTGTGTTTCTTGTGGATGACACCTCGTAATGGACTGATCCCCGTTCTAAGTATTCATGGTTCCAGTAATCTGAATTACAGCAGGCTAAGTGTAGCTTAAGCCCTCAAGCCAGTTCCTTATACACTGCTCACTACCCTGCCACTTCAGCAGTTGTTTGTATACGAGTACACCATCTGCAGCATCTTAAAAATGTGGTTTGCAGTTCTGCTCTGTCTGTGGGCTGTGATGCTTCCTACCATCTTTCATTTTATCCAAGAATTTTTATACACAGAAGCATTTTTTTTCATTTGGCAGTTTTTATGTTTGTCAATCAACAGACATTGCTCGTTCTTTTAGTTGTTTCTGACCAGCTAATAAGAAAAATAGCACAAGTATGATGAAGCTTGTACTGTTCTTAATTTTTTCACAAAAATTTCTTTGATTTTAAATGTATAACTTACAAAATATGGGAACAATGTGAACAGATACTGCTTGAGTGGATAATATAATGCTGATTTAAAAAGTGGCTTCAGTTGTTAAGAAGAGAAAGATGAAAATGTGTTAGAATTCTAAAGTCACTCTTAATGATTAATTGTATCTGTGTTTGCCAATTGTAGGTGTACCTATGTGTACCACCGTACCAGTCCCTCACGGTGGGTCATTGCCTTGTTGTGCCCATGTACCACACACCATGTGCCACACAGTTGGATGAGGACGTGTGGAGTGAAATACAGGTACAGTGAGAAAGTGTTACTGCATGTTCTTAGTTATACATAGTCACTCTTCAACCAAATTGCCTGACTGTCTTATTGTCAGCTTGTTAGCCAGAACCTTAGCTGTAACCTCCTGAGAGAACTTAGTCTAGATTGGTGGCTAATAAGCATTAGCTGCATCTGGTGATCAATTCCTGTTGGTTTGATACCTTTAATTCAGAAAATAAATGACTGAATGCAGCTTCACCTTGATAAAATTCTGCAGTGGTTGTATGTCCCACTGAACACAGTATTATGTATATGGTATAATTTGGCCACACCATAGCTCAAGTGGTTAGTCACTGGTTTCCCATCACGGCAGCTCGGGTTCGATCCCAGGTCTGGTCAAGTGGGATTTGTGGTTAACAAAGTGGCGCTGGGGCAGGTTTTCTCCAATTACTTCGGTTTCCCCTGCCAATCTTCATTCCACCAAATTCTCCATCATCATAATCACCCGGGGCAGGCTTGGACTCCATCCCCCACTAAGCAGATTTAATTTTAATTTTATATGGTCAATGTCCCCTGTATGCTTCATGGACTAAAACACACTATAAATTAAATGTAGGTCATCTGGATAACGTGAGGACGCATTGAATTCAAAGAGCGCAGCATGGATTGAAATGGAGGTTCTCCAGCAGTGAATATGAAGGGTACTGTCTCCTGGGATGTGATGTGGTGTAGTTAGTTAGTTAGTTAGTTAGTTAATTAGTTATTGGAGAGGGTCGGTTTCCCCATGCACTTAGACCAGTATTGGTCCATTGTGCTTCCCTCTGATATTCTACCAGTCTCTATACCCTACTGATACTCTTGCATACCATCAATCCCGACCGAGCCAGTGAGTTCGGCCTCTGCTGGCTTGGCGGTATCTATAATGCTTCCCCCCTCTATCAGAGGTGTTAGAGACTACTGTTGGGTAGGAAACGTCCTTGAATTTGGCTCAGTGACCTCCTTTGGAGATATGAGGTTCTTTTACGTGCTGTAAAGCTACGACACGGGACCCACGGCTTAAAGTCCCTCCCGGAGGACTTGTTCACTGAATTTTTCCACCCTTAAAAATTCCACGACCTCCGCTGGGTTTGAACCTGCGTACCACGAGTCATGAGGTGGGAACGTTACCTCTAGACTACAGAGGCCGCTGTGGTGTGGTGTAAATGCACCAGCATTGCCCCGAAACATGAGTGTACTTCTGCCAGACTCTCTGAGGTGTATAAGTTTATATATTGTGTGATATCTGGTGCAGTGAGATGCACGATTAATGTATTCTTGTTGTCCTTGTTTATGAATCAGTTTTGTGACGAATTATTTTGCATTTCAGACCTTCAGGAAGACCCTCACATCCATGTTTCGGGAACAGTTGAATTTAGATGTGGTTTTCTTTGAGACTGCAATGTATCTGCAGAAATTTCCACACATGATGATGGAATGTGTAACCTTACCTCAGGAGACAGGTCATTTGGCTCCAATTTACTTCAAGGTAAGTGAAGAAACACTAGATGATAAAAGGAACTTTTTTATCTCATTTAATTGAATGGAACTTAACAGGCTTTTAAGACTGAATTTGAAACTGATTTTTCTGTCAGCCACCAATTTTGAGTGAATCAGAAATTAAATTTCCACTGATTTAAAGACAGTAAGGATGTTGAAGTAGAAATTGACTGTTTAGCTCACCTTAATTATAGCTACTGATGATATATGCTTGTGTTTCACCTCTGGGTCATACTTTACTAATGTTCATCATCGGTCAGTCAGTCAGTGATGCTGATCCTCCATTTGTTCTGGCACGACACTGATGATATTTCTTGATGAAATTATTCCCCATGCTTGTCACTACCACCACACAGGTTTGTAAGGAAAAAGTTAAGGTGTAGGTCAGAAAATGAATTTTAATGTTAATTCTTCAGACCATGAATTTGTAAGCATTGAGAACTTCAACGAGTGACTTATGCATTAAATGCTGTCCAAGCTGCTGCTTCAGTTTCACTTAAAGCTTTATGAAATTCCGTGCCTCATGATACCTCAAATCTAAGGGTCCACAGATATTCCTTCTGCATTTTGATTGCGTCAACAAAAGTTTTCTTTATATCAAATTTAGTGTGTAGAGGTGGTAAGAGAACTTTGTCTGGATTAACCAGAGGTTAACTGTTCACTTGTTTTATCCTGGAATCATATGCTTGTTGAAGTAGCCATTGTTTTATAGTGTCCCATGCCCATCCTTCCCAGTCACAGAGGAAACAACGGAATTTTGTAAATCACAGTTTAAATCAAGCAGGAATGTGATGACTTTCAAGTCTCCACAAATATGTTTCTCAGGGTGGTGCATATTGTTGTATTATTCCTTCATATGAATGGCATGTGCCTTTGGAACTGAAGGGTATTTGTTCCCATTCTGGAACAGCACAGCTTTCACAGTCAGCTTCAAGGAATTGATAAATAAATACCATTCATTTGAATCGTGCTGTTGGTCAAGGGCTTCCATGAGAGAGTCCATTTTATTGCAATACGACAAAATTGCCTTCCTGAGAAAGAAAGTAGAAGTCTTTTCTGATGCTTGCAGAACATATATTAGTGCCTTTTTTTATGTAGAAGATTCCAATTTGAATCTAGAAGTAAAAAATTCAGATTTATTCTCTAAGAAATCAAGATCACATTTGAGGTTATTCGGGTCTGCTTGAAGGTCTCTCAATTAACAACACAGCTCAGATAATGGATCAACAGTGTACCTGGGTCATTTCATGTCAAATCATCATTATATATTCTCCGCCTCCTCTTCCCTTCCTCCTTTCCTGTTCCTCTTCTTCTTCTTCTTCTTCTTCTTCTTCTTCTTCTTCTTCTTCTTCTGTGGGAGCTACATCCCTTGATGAACCTTGACCTTGCATGTGATTGCTCATCATTGGCCCCCTTCCATCTGGCTGCAATCATTAAATGCTTCTCAACAATTAAGACTTTTTGTGGGGTGTAGTTATCAACCCCATGCCTAGCCACAGATGTGGGGGACCAGGGTATGCCTTTTTGTCTGGATCATCACCTTTGACCTGTCTGACATGGGAGGATCCTACCAGTATCCACACTACTACCAGCATAGCTCAGGATTATATGACCATGCAAGCCCCACCACTACATCAAAGGAGGGATACCTGTGGGGGGTCCATGTCAAATCAGCACACAGAATGTTATTTTCAACCCTCCCTTCTCTGATATCCATGAGATTTGGTGTGCATGCTGTCACACCAGTAATGAATTATGCTGATTGTCAGTTGTGTTTTTAAAATATTTTTTTTAAATTATTGCCATTTCAGTTTTTAAAATAGCTGTAAAATTTAACTCGCGGATAATCACAGATTTCGAGGTAACTTTGGTTCTACTTAACATATAGAGCTGAACTTGGGCACATTAAAAGCTTGTGAAATAATGATCTATGATAAGATCTAAAAGTTCAAGATGATATATTAATACAGTAATTGACGCTTTGAACATAATCTATTATCCTGTTTTTCTGATTTAAAATGTTTTGTAATATGAGTATATTGTTTTAAATAAAAATAGAAAGATGGTTAATATACAGAAAGTCAGTTGTTGCATGCTCTATAATACTATCGTTCGATATATAATACCACTGCATTAGCACAAAATATATCAGTTTAGGGTTCTTAAAATGCTTTTCGACCTCAGATTAAAATTATAAACTTAAATTGATAGCCACTAAGTGTTTTCTGGTGTATCTTGCCTAGGAACTTGCTTGCTTTCTGGTTTTGTGGGATACGTGGTCGCCCTTTAGGGTGTAGGAACATTAATTTCACAGTGTCCATGTCCATTTTAATATTATCATCTCATTTATGTTTATATCTCCCAAGTGGTCTCTTCGCTTTGTATTATGTAATTAAATTTTTCTGTCCCATTCATACTGCATGATTTGATGCAAAGAATACCAATTATGATGCCCCTTATTTTGTAATATTTTCCACTGTCCTGTTGCTTTCTACATCTTAGCTCTAAGTTCCCTTTCGTTTTATGTGGTTTACATATTTTTAATTTTGCAGAAAGCAATTCTGGAGTGTGAGACAGAATGGACAACAAATAAGAAACTGGTGGATTTAAGTGGGAAGGATGTTCGCCGAGCTGTACCAAAAGGACTGCCTTACTTTGCTGTTGATTTTGGACTTGATTCTGGTTTTGCTCATGTCATAGAGGATGAGAAGATGTTTCCCAAAAATTTTGCCCAGGTTGGTCTTAAGTAGAATTACTTTAGAATTAATCATTCTGTTTTAAAGAATAAAATTAAATTCAGCCTATCTGAATATGAAACTGTCTTGAGACTGGTACTACAAGAACTATGAAAACTGGAAGACTGGAAGGTTAGCTGAATTCAGAGTCAAAGTCACATTGTGACTGGTGGTCAGCCAGTCTGTCCATCTTGGTGTCAAGCCCTGGCTGGGGTTCATAACCAGATGTTTCTTGCTTGAAAGTTACTGTCCTGTCCATGTGTGGTGCCCTCTCCAATGAGAGGTCAGGTCTGTCATTTGTCAGTCATAGTCAATAGTATCAGCCCATTGTCAGTATGTACAATTATTTACAAGTCTACGGTTATTGTCCAGTTTTATCCACAGTATACACAAGACCTCTGTCAGTCCAGGCTCAGTACAGCAGATTATGCCCTATTTCTAGTAGTATTCACTAAAATGGCAGCCTAGTCACTTGAAAGGTTGTATGCCTGACCACTGCCAAGCATGAGCCTCTTATACTTCCTATGTTGGCCTTGGCCAATATTACAAACATTCTCATTATCAAAATTTTGTATGACTTCTGCTTCTTGCCTGCATAATTTTGTTATATAATCATATACATACAGAATTTTGAAAGCCATGTGTAAATCACGAACCAATGTGCACCTTGGAAGATTGCCATTGGTGCAGAGGACCTTGTTTTGCGGGTGCTGCTATGTTATTAAATTGGTATCTGCCGCGAATTCCCAGTGGGACTAGCATAAGTCATTACAGAGCTAATGAGAGCTTTGTGGAAGGTCAGTTTAATGTTAGTTCTCAGTTGCTCACTCTTGAATAGGGAATATACTCTAATGAATGTTCTGAAGGCCTTGGCTTCAGTCACTTCTATGTGCAGTCTCCATTTAACTCCCTTATAGAAGATTACAACGAGATATTTTGCACTATTTATAAGTGGAATGTTTCGTACATTTAGCATAAGAGAAGATTCAGGTGGTCAATGACCATGAGAGAAGTAGATCCCCTGAGTCTTATCTTCGTTAATTTTTATATTCCAGCACTCATGCCACGTCTCGATTAAGCTGAGACCATGCTGGAGTTTTCTAACAATAAAACCCTCGTTGTGATCAGTCGCATAAAGATAACTGTCATCCGCAAAGAGGGCCAGGTGAACACCATGTGTTTGGGGGGGCATCATTTATATACAAATTGAAAAGAGTAGGGGACAGGACCGAACCTTGTGGCTCTCCTTGCATTTCCCTTGGCATTGAGGTTTCACCTTCAACTGAAACACTGAAATTAAGTTGTGAAAGAAAGGACCCAATAAGCTTGGACAAACTGTTCGAAAATTCCAGTTTTGATAACTTATACAGCAAGCCTGAGTGCCATGTGGTATGGAAGGCTTTTTCGATGTCCAAGAACACTGTGGCCATAGACATTTTATTGTTGAAATTAAGGGTCATGTGGTCCGCCAGTCTCATACATTGCAGTATCGTGCTGTGATGTGCACAGAAACCAAACTGGCTTATATTGAGCAGGCCTCTTGTCTTCAGTATGTTTTTGAGGTATTTTCAAAATCACTTTACTGAATAGTTTTCCTGTTGTGGACAGGAGGCTAATCGGACATAAATTTTGTGGGAATTTGGGGTGTTTACTGGGTTTAGATGAAGTTATTACTTTTGCTTCCTTCCAAGGATTTTGAAAATGAGGCAGCCAAAAGCTGATGGAATAAATGGGGTAGGTGAACCAATGGTCGCCTTGGAAATGTGCCTGAGGCATTCATTTGGAATACCATCAATTCTATGGGCCTTTCTCAATTTCAAGGAATTTATTAATTTCTGTAAGTCACATGGTCTTATTCTTTGAGAGGGGTTGTTGTCTATGGTTTCGAGCAGAGCTTGAACTCTAGCCTCCACCTGCCGTTCGTGGTTATCGTCACACAGATCATGTGGCATGAACTGAGTTTCCAATCAGTCAGCAGTTGCATTGACTTTTTTCAAAAGGATGAAATTTAAGGCCTGAAGCACCATGAATAGCAGTTGGTGCCCTTGGTCCAGCCCTCTTAGGAGAGATTTTGCAATGGGCCATACACCCTGAGGTGTGACCTCAGCATTACCTATTTTTGTTTCCCACCATTCAAGTGTCTTTTTACAGGTCATTTGCCTGATTGATTTTGTGACCCAATTGACTGCTGTTTTACATGCTGAATCCATGGTTTCTTGGCAGAAATTTTGCAGCATCTGCTTATGTTTTAACAAACGATCTAGACCAGGAAGATTGTTGTTTATGTCTGAAAATGTAACTTTACCTGTTGACAACCTATATGCCAAAGCAATGGAGGCTGTAAAGTCATGCACCACTTTATCGGCTTCTACCTCTTATTTAATTTCAATCTGAGGTGATATTAACTCAGATGTGAGGCTTTGAAATTGATCCTAATCTGTTAATTTTTCAATAGGTTTCAAAAGATTCCTAATTTGGACATGATCCAGTATGTGGAATACTGATAGGATATGTGAATCCAAAATATCAGAGACCATGACATCCAACACTCTCATATTTTGGTGGACCACAATATCCAGCACGTCACCAATACCAGCAGGGTAATAATGAGTGGGGCACTGTGGTGCTGAAATTTTGAATTCAGTCCTATCAAACAAGTCCATGAGTTCCTTGCCTGAGTGGTTTGAAACTCTGCTATCCCAGAATGGGTGTTTAGCATTCTGATCACCTGCCAAAATGGACTCTCATCTAAATCTTAAGAACTCAGTGATGTCAGCATTGCTCCAAGCCTTGCCTGGAGATTTATAAATGGCTGCAAGCAGCACTTCACTATTGCCAATTGGTATGCAGACCCCTGTGGCTTCTGCTGAAACAAGAGGTGGTAGGTCTATATGATTATGGGGAATGCATTTTCTAATTATAATGGCAGTTCCGACTTTTCTGACCCGGTGGTGGTCGGTTTGATAAAAATGATAATTTGGAATCAAGAACCTGTGATGGGGTTTCAGATGTGTCTCTGAAAAGAGGGCCACATCTACGTGTAGGTCTTCCAGCCGTTTACACCTAAGGGTAGCAGTCTGCTGACTGCTATACAACAAAACAACCTGAACTACATATCAACAGGAGAGCCAACATATTCGTCTACTGATTTAAATAAAACACCGGACCTATTAGACTTTGCAGTCACAAAAGGCATTTCAGGCATTCACAGCTCTATAGAATCTAACCTAGATGTGTCATCAGACCACAGTCTGATCATACAATAATAACACTAAGTAATCACATAATCTGGAAGGAACCACCACAACTTTGTAATAGAAATACCAATTGGACACAATTCCAAGATTACATCAGCGACAACATTGCCCTAAATCTCCGACTAAAAGAAAACCAAGATCATGAAGANTCTACTGATTTAAATAAAATGCCAGACCTACTAGACTTTGCAATCACAAAAGGCATTTCCGGCATTCACAGCTCTATAGAATCTAACCTAGATGTGTCATCAGACCACAGTCTGATCATACAATAATAACACTAAGTAATCACATAATCTGGAAGGAACCACCACAACTTTGTAATAGAAATACCAATTGGACACAATTCCAAGATTACATCAGCGACAACATTGCCCTAAATCTCCGACTAAAAGAAAACCAAGATCATGAAGACAGTAACAATAACAACACGGAGGACGAAGTTGAAACCTTCCTAAACTCTGCCTGTCAGCTATCGCCACCAATAAGAGCCTTTTCACAAACAGAGGTCAGCAGTTCAATAAACCTGCCCAACCCTCATAAGGCACCCGGATACGATCTAATAACAGGCGCTCTACTAAAGAATCTCCCACAAAAAGCCATCATACTACTAACAACTATTTACAACAGCATGATACGACTATGCTACTTTCCTGTGCAATGGAAGTACGCCCAAATCATAATGAAATCCAAATCCGGAAAGCCACCAACCAAAATCAGTTCGTACAGACCGATAAGCCTACTGCCCACACTATCCAAAGTATTCGAACGACTCATCCTTAAAAGACTTGCAGAAACATCTACTAATGACATAATCCCTACGCACCAGTTTGGCTTTCGAGCAAATCACTCCACAATCCAACAGTGCCACAGAATCATTAACAAAATAAAAGAAAACATGGCAGGAAAGAAAATATGTACCTCGGTCTTTCTCGACATTCAGCAGGCTTTTGACAAAGTANGTTTGGCTTTCGAGCAAATCACTCCACAATCCAACAGTGCCTGCCACAGAATCATTAACAAAATAAAAGAAAACATCGAAGGAAAGAAAACATGTACCTCGGTCTTTCTCGACATTCAGCAGGCTTTTGACAAAGTATGGCACAAAGGATTACTGTATAAACTAAAAATGAACCTATCCACACAATTATATCTTACTATAAAATCGTACTTGAACAAACATTACTATCAAGTCAGAATTGATGAATTATCCGAATACCATCTAATAAGAGCAGGAGTTCCACAGGGCAGCGTCTTGGGCCCCCTTCTGTACCTAATCTTTACAGCCGACGTCCCCCTAACAGACAATACGCTAATGGCAATATTCGCTGATGACACAGCAATAACGCTAATGGCAATATTCGCTGATGACACAGCAATAATGTCATCAGACCAAGATCCAAATACAGCCTCCCAAAAATTGCAGCAACACCTCAACACACACCAAAACTGGATGGGACAATGGAAAATCAAAGTAAATCCTGCAAAATCCTCCCAAATAACATTTACAACAAGAAGAGCTGTCTGCCCGCAAGTTAGTATCAACAACAGCCTCATACCCATCAAACAAGAAGTTATGTATTTAGGTCTCCACCTTGACGAAAAACTAACATGGAGAACGCATATAAAAGCTAAAAGAAGACAACTAGAGCTCAAAACCAGAAATATGAATTGGCTAATTGACAGAAAATCACAGCTATCTCTTGAAAACAAAATCCTATACAAAACGATAATCAAACCAGTCTGAACCTACGGGATAGAGTTATGGGGATGCAGCAAACCTTCCAACACAAAAATTCTCCAAACGCTACCTTACACAATGATCTAAGCATACCATATGTAACAGAAGTCATCAGAGCATATGTGGAGAAACACAAAAACCAGACCACTCAAAATAACAACCAACTAATAAGAAACCTCTACAACCAACCAGCAATAGAAAGAAGACTAAATAGAATGTGGCCAGAGGATCGTTGAAGGATGATACCTGCTTCAATATTACACACACCCATCCCTTTTACTAATTACTCTATTTATGTATATATTGAGTAGATTGTAAAATTATTTTAAAATAAAAAAAAAGTTCCATCATTGGAAAGGTTTCAGTACTTCAAAGATAAAAGACCTGCATACTGACTTAACTAGTCTTGAGCATCACAAGCTGTTGACCATCACAGATAGGCCAAATAGTTTCTCCAGCGAGTCAGTTTAGAGGATTTTACAATGACTACTCGAAACATACAAAATGTAACTTGTCACTCCCCAGACTTTTCCACGGATCAAGTGTTGGCATCTTGCAGTTACAGACGTGTGGCTGGACAATGATTAAACTGCTCCACTAGATGGTTACAAGTGCATTACTCAATTTAAATGACAGGACATCAGAGATGGAGGTGTAGCCATATATGAAGAAAAAAATAATGCCACAGCTATGGCAGCTCCTCATCTTCTCATGAAGCAGGTTAAAGATAACATGGCAAAGACGTCTTTTAAATTATCTGTTTCAGAATCTTATGGAAATGTCTGTACAGCAGAGTTTCTTGTAATCGGACAAAAAGTGATGGCGGTGACTGTATGTATCTCCAAATACTCCCAGCAACGATTGGAAATCTTTGATATTTTGAAACTTGGCTGGGTATTCTCCAAAAGTGTGCAAAATATTTTAGTTTTTGGAAAGTAGAGGTTGTGAGGATATGCCAATCATATTGGCAGGTGACTTTAACGTCAGCATGAAATATAACTACAGTGCCGAACTCAAAGAGTACATGAAAGATACCTTCGAACTTGAAGTTCTTTTGGACCTTTTTTCAAAGAACGACTATATCTAATTCTCGCATCGATATGGACTTTGGATGAAATATGGACAGTTTATCCTGTATGAACTATGTTATGTACTTTAGCAATCAGCAGTCAGCAAGCTTCTCAGCTTAGTGATGTAACTACAAACTAAATGCTTTGTGTAATTTAAATAAATAATGTACTGTACATATAGTAATGTTTCAACGAAGTTTCAGTTTTAATGTACAAATTACATTTATTCCAATACAGGTCCCAGTTTCATAATGTGTTCAACGTTAATCCTGGGAACCAGAGTTCCCCAATATATTTTTTATCGCAATGTGTGTCAGCTAGAGAAGACTGACAGACTTAGGAAATAATTTTCATACCCTAATCTATGTTACCCTCCCTTTTTCTGTGTTCTGGCCAATCTCCTGACATTTCTATCTGTGTTCTGCACTTCCTGACACAGTACACTGCCTGATGTGAACAGCGCTGATGGACCACATAACTTATCCTTAACCTAATCTGTTCCTCCTCATGCTAGGCCCTGTCCACCCTATTTTAATGATTGGTTAGCATGACACTGGGATATGGAGGAAATATGATGATTAGACTAACATTGCATTTGTTCGTATATGAAAAATGTAATTTGTTGTTGATATGATCTGTTCCTTTCCAGGAAATAATTGGTGGTATGCTGGATTTGGATCATAGTTTGTGGCGTAAGCAACGGCGGGAGGAGTTTGATTCACAGCGCAAGAAAGCTTTGCAGTTTGCAGAATGGTGGAAAATGTATGACTTCACTATTAGGAAAGAAAAGGATTCCTTGGCCTCTGAACATATTGAAGCCTGAATGTAAACTTGAAGTATCAAGTAGATTCTAAAGGGTTCTGACAATGCTGTATAACACACATGATTACTGGGTTTTTGGAATTTTTCCATCATCCGGTATTCTAAAAACTAGAAAACACGACATTTCAGAAACTGGATCCAGCCCTTGAAAATTCAATACTATTGGCGGGCAACATAGCCACCGTGATGTCATGAAAGCATCACTGCTGCCACCAGTGCCGAGAGCACAGTCGGTAGGAGGGTATGTTATCATACCACCAGCCTTTGTGTACTGCTCCCTCCCAAAGAATCACTAGTTCATTTGAAGAGCTACAAATAATTTGCAACCCTGGCTTCTTGTACTGAAGAGGTTCTTACTCCATTATGTGTTTTTTTTGTTTTCAAACTGAGTTTAATGTCACTTCACTCAAAAACCATCTGGAGGAGCATGAGTTACGTGATATCAAACTCAGTTCGAAAACAGAAAACACAATGGCGTAAGAACCTCTGCAGTACAAGAGATCAGGTTGCAATTATTATTTATCGGGAGAAATTTTTTCACCAGTGCCTGTAAAGTATGAACATTTCATTTGCATCAGTTCAACACCTTACTGAAATGCAATGGACATTGTGAACTATAACATTCATAGAATACTTGTGTTTAGGAAAGCTGATGGTGGGTAAACTTGAAATAAAATTCTGTTTCCATCAAAGATACTTGTATTCAACTTCATAACTTTGCTTACAATTTACACTTGAAAGCTACACAGAACATAGCTTTTCGGTTACATTAATGTGTTATAAATCATGTATATGGAGCAATATGGAGGTTTCCATTTGTTATTAAGTTCAGTAGTATAATGAAACTCGAGAATCTGATACACACTCCTGTTAACAAGATTACGATTGCATTTAATAATATATGAAAAGCAGTAAAATAATTGCAGAACTCTTACAAACATCATGATCTGAAACATGCTCGTGTCCAAATTCAATACTAAACATAATAATGTGGCCAAAATAACTGATGCAATATAATGAACACAATAATATGGCCAAAGTACTGCAATGACTGAAGGAATATACCCATAATAACAAATTAGATGAATAAAATATGTAAACACTATTAACTAAAACTTCCTACCTAGGAAGCAGATAATAAACTTAATTACAAAATACACAGTGAATCGTGACATTGATTCTGCTCCTCACTGTTTCATGCTGAAACAGGTAACCTGAAGATTGCAAGTCAATTATAAAATAATGCCACTTCATTGTTACCCACACATCAACAAGAACCATGTGTGTCGGAAAAGAATTTCCAACACAATTCTCGTTTGAAATATAATTACTTGAAGATACAGGGCAGAATGAACTCTGACCATCTTCAGACAGTGATGTTCTAATTGAATTGAATTGAATTGAATTTATTTACATTCTATAAATCCTAAGCAGGTTAGTACCNGAGATGATGTACTGAGAATGTACTGAGAAGAATGAAACAGGTCTGCAAAGCAAGGAAGAGATGGAGCTCAAGATCAGAATAGGTTTCTTATATGTAATCTGGCTGTAGGTGATGATATACCAGAGGTTTGAGACAAGAGCATGTGGAGGCATGGTAGTAGAAGTTGTTTGTCACCAGGGTTACTTTCTCCAACTTATGAAACATCTATTGATGCTCATGTGAGCAGTAATTTAATAACTGCTCTCTGCCAATTTCCAGGGCTGGTATGGGCAGGATATTACAAGGCAAAGATGAAGAAGCATTGCTTTCCTAATAACTTACTGATGTGTCAGTATCTTATTCTTCCTCTCTGTGGTCCTCTGCCTGGCTGCTTCAGTCATCAACCTGTTTGTTTGCTTAACACCACCAACAAATGTAAATTCTTGTGAGACATCTCACAATACCATCTACTATTCATTGGTAGTGAAGTGAACAGCCAGAACACCTAATCCACTCGAAGTCAATTGCGCTCTAAATGGCAGCTGTGATATGCTGCTCCACTGAATTCAAGTGAGCAGCCTCTGCCATCATAGACTCCATTAGAGTTACAGCAGTACCAACAGTCTCCACAAGCTTCTCAGAAGGATGGGTGAGAGACTGTTCTGTATCACTGCACTCCTTGAAATATACAGTATGAAGGCATTGGCTGATAGCACTTAAGATGTCAGGCATGTCTTGCATGCATCACAGCTGACACCTCAAAGCACCTGTCTAGCAATGGAACCACTGACATAGGCTACTGAGAGCACTTCCATGTCACCAGCAGGTACTGCAGCAATTATGTCCTTCTTACTTGCTGATCAACATGGAAACCCTCAGGCACACCAGTAGGGGTTTCGTTGCCATGACTTGTGGAAGGATTTCGTGAAGCAGCATCAGGTTCCCCGAGGAATGATTGTAGGTTATCCATCATCCTCACAATTAGTTTCCGCCAGACCTCTAAAAGCAAGGCCATTGATGATGCTGGTCTTCAGGGGATCTACAAACTGTCCCACTGCTGGGTTATTGTTAGAACCACAGTTCAAACAAATAGCCCCAGATGTGTTCTCAAGGTGATCCTGATTCAGGTTTTGGGCGTGAAGGTACTTAAAACTCACCTCTTTCACTCTCCTCCACACATGCTGGGCAGCAGTGATGTCAGCCATCCATTCTGTGAAGGAGGAGGTTGAAGAAAGGCAGGTTTACCTTACCTCGAGGAAGATCCAACTATTTATCCCCATACTTGCCTTTTTCCAGGGCTCAATATGGGGACTGTTAATGTTGAGTGGGCAACGCAGTGTTTTCCCAGGGTCAACACATGCTCCACTCTTGAAATTATCAAAGAGGTTTTCAACCTCCTCAACAAACACAGCTGTTGCCTGGTATTCACCCTCCTGAAAGAACATTAAAAAGGAAGTTAGTGAGCTTCCTAACATGATGGTCTACCATATTTCTTCAGACTGGAAAATAACACGCTTTGCAAATGACTGCCATAAAAAAGAATTTGTGCATTTGATTACTTTATTCCTCATAGAAAAGATTTTTGCCACCTCCTCCTCATAAATCATATTACTGATAGTGTGTTCTGCTTTTCAGACATTTTTAATTACCCTAAAAACATTAGTATTGTGACATATTCTACATATCCTGTATATTATACAGTTTTGTAAGTAATAAATGATGAAAATTATATTTATTTGAGAACTGGGTTCTGGGGATAATAATTTTGAAAACTAATCCTCATTATTCTCATTAGCCACTTCTTTCATAAGAGAACATAATAGCATACAATGCAGTGGTCCTTATCTGTAGCCACCAGAGTGTTTAGGTTTGCTGCAACAGTATAGCTCATGAACTATGCAGCCAAGTTAACTTTCATAACACACTGTGCAGTGGAGTTCAGGTAGGCGTCTGTCAGCTTGTACATCTGATGAAACCCTCTGGGTTTGTTGAGTTCATACAGTTTCAATGTGTGGTCCCACTTAGCAATAACAGGAAATTGGTTGCTCAGGTGCTCAGACTTCAACTGCACGTCATACTTTCGGAATAGGTTTCGGGTGCATTTCAGGAGGTGGGGAGGATCATATACATATTCTGTGTGATTACAGTACATCATATATTTTGATTTAATCATCATTATATCTTAAGGTGTTCCCCCAGTAATTCTTGCAATCTTTCATCCTTCAAGGTAGATTACCAGGAAGTTCTGGAAATAACGTTTGATGCCTGCTTTCCTTAGAATACTTTGATATTCACACATGGTGACACCATCAAGAAGTGTGCATTTCTATACGTATACTATAAATTCCGTCATAAATGTAACACTTTATTGTAGTTCTTGTCCCCCTTCTTTCACACTACATATTTCGGCCGCAATCAGCCATTAGGTGTATTTCACTTCACGTAGCTGTCAGATTGCACTCAATATTAACATTTAAACTCCAGATTTCCAATTGTTCATTGTCCTGTCGTCTATCGGCACCCGATATTCCAGAATATCGGACGGAATTTATATTATACATATAGAAGTGTGGAATGTAACAGGATGCTTAAATATAATATGTGTGCATTTATTAATTAATGTAGTGATCTGTTCTGGTTTATAACTTACATTAACATTCATTCATTATTGGAAGGGGTGGGTTTCCCCATGCACCGCGACCAGTTGTTGATCTATTGTACGTCCCCCTTTGATATTCTACCAGTCGCCATATCCTTCCAATACTGGTGCTTGCTATCAGCCCCGTTCAGCCAGCGAGTTCGGCCCCTCTACTGTCAGTGGTACCTGATACTTCCACATCTACCGGAGTCATCAGAAACTACTTGGGTGGGAAACTTTTTACCTAATTTTGCTCAGAGTTCTCCTAGAGACATGAGGATCTTTTACGTGCCGTAAATCTATGACACGGAACCCACGGCTTAAAGTTCCTCCCGGAGGACTTGTTCCCTGAATTTTTCCGCCCTTAAAATACATTAACATTGGTTCACAGTGTGTGTAGTTTGTCAGATATAACCTCAAAATTTTGCATCATCGCTGTGTAGGTGTTTCATGTATAAAATATATCTTACAGAATGTTTACTAGCCTACAACCTGGAAAACTGAGAAATTGGGGTTTGATTTCATGGTAGGGCAGAGATTTTTCTTTTTTCTACAGCATCACGATTGACTCTGGAGTCCCACCCAGCTTCCTGTGAACTCATTGGCTAGGAAGCCGGGTTATGAAGTGAACCACTCACCTCCATGTATTGCTGGAGTTTGGGATGTATGGAGATATATCTTCACTTTCCTGCACTTCATAATATCCTGATATAATTAAACACAGCAACAGCTTTTACTTTACAGAGTTTGTGGTTGTGTTAAATAGCTGAGTAATATCAAGGGTGGCCTGTGGTCTAGAGCAAGGATCTCCAAACTACGGCCCGCGGGCCACATCCGGCCAGCGATGTGATTTTATTCGGCCCGCGAAAGAATTGTGCAGAAATGCGCCAATTGAACTAATTTTCCAATGAGTACTGGTAAAAAAATACTTTTTCATAGATTTCAAATTCATTAATTAAGATTGTGTTTAAAATATATTGATATTCCATATTATGTTAATATTAATATTATTCACAATTTTACTAATTCTGGACCGTATACTGCGCGGTGTTTCTTCGTACTTGTTCGGCCTCGATCGGCAGTGTCACTTCGTGGCAATGTAGGTAGCGCGAGCAGAATTTCCTTCCTCGTTTGCAAATTTAGTCATTTCAGATTTTAAAGAACAATTTCGGAAGCGATTTGCTGATTTGGATTCCAGTGCTCAGGAAACTAGATTGTTTCAAAATCCATTTGACTGTGATGCTGCAGATGTCCCAAGTCAAATACAAGGGAGGAAATTTGATCAAATTTTATAAATTTCTGAACTCTTGACAATTTCCAAATTTGAATAAATTTGCTTGTAAATTTATCTCCATTTTTGGAACGACATATCTATGTGAACAAACTTTTTC